GATCTTATTCTTTTCATGATTATTAATCAGTAAAGGTGTCAGGAGCTTAATCGCCTGAGTGCAAGGATTTTCTACGGTTCACAGATGCATGGTTTCATGTGCAGGACTGATTTATACAGTTATGAATGACTTGAAAACAAGGCTTCACTGTGTTCTGAAAAATAATAAATTAATTGCCAAGATAAAATAGCTTGAACATGTGCTGATGGAGTGTGAAATTTTAGATGCTGTATAAAGAATAACCGCAACTTTGGTTACGCAGCAAGTCAGATATGGCTATTTTATATAATGCTAATCAAGTCTAGAAGTATGGAAGAAGACYTTTCAACTAAGCTGTTGGAGCTTAAGAAACCTTTAGCCTTTTTAGATTTTAACTGCCCCTTACCTCAACTATCTTGAAAGTATCTTTATCTCCAATTGGTGTCACTAAAATATTTTTAAGTCAGTCTCTGAAGTTTTAATTTACTTCAGTCTTTGGCYGAGACTCCATAAACCCTTCTTGGAAATAAACAGTGAGAAGTTATATGTGGTTTAAAATGAATGATGTCCTGTGTAGGATGTAGTTTGTTTAGCTTGCAACTTGTTCCTTTTTGGTGCTGTTCTTATTTCCATTTTAAGTGTGTCTTGGAAGTACATAGGATAGGATGAAATTAAGCTGCTGAAATGTAACATTAGAATTTCCGTAATTTCTTTTAAAGCTTTAGTAAATGGGCCACAGGAAGGCTAGATTTTTAAAAGTAAAGATTAGTTTTTGAGAAATATCTACTGGGTTAGTTCTAAYTCGTCTGTGATCTTCCATTACACAGTTCTTTGTCTGTTCTTTGAAATAACAAAGCTATAATGCATGTAAAAATTTTAAATGCAATTAAACAGTTCAAAATTATATTAAAATTATTTTTTAGTCTTCCCATTTTCCCTGTCTCTTCACTAGATCTTRTCTCTTGCCCAAAATACAAAGTCTTCAAAATGCTTTTTTTTTTCAGAATGGCTGTATTCAGTTCACTGAACAAGTGCTTTTTGTAACATTCACTCTACAAAAATTTTTAGGTTAGATATGTGTGTGACTGAAAATGTAATAAAGCAAAGCTCAGGAAATAGACTTAAGTTTTGCCTAAATGAAGCATTTTTCTTTTGCTGAAAGCTTTKTTTTTCTACAGGAAACATTGTTAAACCCAGTGTTCTGCAGATTCAGTTGAAAAAAATGTAATTTGAGTTTGTAAATACTGTGGCCCAGCAACATTTACAGATGAATACTTGAATACTCATACTATTAAATATAATTTAAAATCGGTTGACCTGCTTACAATAATAATATATGCATAGGCATATAGTTTTACAGGATAAAGGTCAAAGATTTTATTTTCAGTTTGTGAAACATCTGGTGTTCTCTCTGAATATATTTAATGAGAAAATTTTTACAAAACCTCACTTTACTATTTTCTTGCTTTTAGTGAACTGATTTGCTAGTGTCTTTAAAAAATGCCCCTAATATGATTGTGATTTAATTTTCATTAATAAACGCTTATTCTCAACTTTTCACAAAACAGATTATTTAAATTAGACTCTTGTACCCAAAACTTGGTACTTGGCCAAATTGAGGTTTGAAATCCACTGTAGTAGATGGTAAATTAAATAAATAATTAATGAAATTTAGAAAGACAAGATAATCTTAAACCTTTGGCATAAACACAGTGTTCCAGCTTTACTCCTGGCTCTCTTTTTGAAAGCTTGCCTGAATATCAGAAGCCCTGGTATCTCTGTAGAATACAGTGGCTGGTCCAGGTTAGTGATCAGTGCATTTTGAGCAGTTTGGATCGCTTATGAAAATGAGCCCCTTCTAAATATCTCAAAAAATAAACTTGTACACCTGATTTCAGTATTCATCACTCCAAAAGTGTTTGTCTTAAAAATAAAATTGGAGACTTATTTTCTGATGCTTGGTATGCTTGCAGAGATAGAAGTCTTTATTCTCTAAGCAGCTAAGTTGTATTCTCCTTTAYAACCAAAAATATTCAGAAATAGTTTTTAACTTGTTGGAAAGCTGAGTTCCCCKTACAACTAAATAAAAATCTTTATTTATGTTACCAGATGCATTTATTTGTTTATGAGATCATGCTGCTGTGTTACAATTGTCTCTGAAGAAAGAAAATGCACAAGTGAACATTTTCTTTAAGCTTCCTATTTAAAGGAGGATAAATACTTGCATTGTATTCTGGAGTGGATACTATRGTGTACTTAGCTCAGAAAAAACATAGTTAAAACTTGAATTGAGACCATAAGAATAATCATGCAAAAATATTAGTCAAGCTCTTGTTAGCTACTTGAACATTTGTAGATATGGGAGCTTTGCAAAAGTTGATATACTTTTTTATATAGGTATTGAACTATAAACATGATTTAGAATCCTGTATTAAGTGGCAACAATTCTGAAGTAAGTGGAATTGCAATTGAAAATTATTTTTTCATTCATTGTGCATTCAGGAAGTTTTTTTTGTTTTGTTTTCTTTTCTTTTTAAATGAATGCATTTTTCTCTTTCATAATTTTTTTCCAATAAATAAATTACTACATAATAATTCTTTAACATAATTAGCTTACTTCAGCTTATATATTTCATATCAGTAGGCAAACTTTTCCAGAATTCGATTCTTTGAGTATTGGTTTTCTACCCCAAACCAATTATCATACATGACTTTTCTAATGGTCTCTCACCTGAGACAAGCACCAATTTTTGCTTTTCATCACAACTTGATATGCTAAAAAAAAACAACCAAAACCACGTGGATTATCATTGTAATAGATAATAGGATTGCTGCCATCTCTAATACGTATTTGTTTTCTTTTTATACAGGTCATCCTTATAGAATTTTTACCAAAGACACCGATTTTTCGACCAGATTAGCATTCGATTTATTTATAGAGACTTATTCAAGTATGTTGTCTTTCCAATGGTGCCTTGCTTGGTGCTCTCCTGGTAGTGACATAGCATTGGTTCTACAGAATCTTATGGTGTTTTCATTCTTTTTGTTTGTTTGTTTGTTTGTTTTGTTTTTCTTGTGGGGTTTTGGGGGTTTTGTTTGGGGTTTTTTTGTTGGTTTTTTTTTTGGTTAGTTGTTTTTTGTTGGTTTTTTTTAAACAAGAGTATGTTCTAAGTGCATTTGGTCAAACTCTGTGAAGTATTTTCACACAAATGTTAATTACTACTTAAGTTATTTTTACTTTTGCTACTTCTGTTTATTAATGTATCTTGATTTTCAAAGTCTTTTATATGTGTGCGCGCGCGTGTGTACATATATATATTACTATAAATACACGGCTGAAAATTATATACAAGTGAACAGGTTATTTTTTTATCCAAATAYGATACAACTAATGGACTGTACATTGTGTAAGCCCCTTTAGTCATTCATTTACATGCTGGAGTTCCTTCTAAGATGATCTGAAACCTCTGTCAGTGACTAGTCAATTGTAAATACTTTTATTTCTTTTTGGGATATTGACTAGTCTCTTCCAGTAAAAGAAGGATACAAAGTTCTTTTAGAAGTGTATTTTTTGGAACCCAAATGTTGTTAGTAGAAATTTTGATGCTTTTCATGAAGAAGTCCTGTCAGCTGGTTCTGAAAAAGTTTGGCTTTAAAAGGTTAAAAAAAAGCAGCCAAGTGGAATTATTTTGTTCAGACTAGAAGAATCACTGAGAGAATTGCATGCATCTGGCTAGTAGAACTCAAGATCACAAAAGTGTATTATTATTGCATTTTCTAATGTAGCTGTTTTAATTCAGTTCATTGCCATGTGCCAGCTTTATGCATACTGTTTACCAGATCCTGTACACAGGGGACTCTTTTTTCCTAAAGCTTAATAGTCCAAAAAGACCTTCCATAATTTTTTTTTGTTTTTTTATTTTAAGGCCACATAAGATGAAAAATGTTATTGAAGAATTTTTGAACAGTGCAGTTCCAGATGCAAATGCCATGTATTAAAAATAGTCAAAGCAGGGTACAGTGGGCAACAGTGTATTGCACCCTTTCTTTTGCTCATTTTGGTTTACAAAGGTTATTTTCTGCACAAGTATAAGACTTTTTTAAACTGGATATAAAATGTATGTTTGGGTCAGGCCAGTTGTATTTCTTTTCTTCTGATTATATTTTAGTTGTACATATCTTCACACATAGCTTTTGGGTTTTTTTAAATGGCAASTCTCATATTTTAAAATTTGCTTCAGATATCTAAAATTACTGTACGCAAAATTGATGTAAGTTAAGAACATGTTCTTTGTACAGTTGTGTTAGCAAGCAATAATGTGAATATAGGAAAAAACCCGATATACTCTGCTTACTATTTGTATGAATGAAAAGTTGATACCACTACAAGAATAGTCTTCTCTTTTTAATCTTTTAAATACAAGTTTAATTTCAAGGTAATGTATTACAGGTACCTTGATGCTGTGAACTATTTTTCTATATCTTCAAAATATTTATTCTCTGTAAAAAATTCTCTTGTGTGTATTATATTCCTAAATTGTTCATAGTAGGAGTGGTCTAGAAAGTTTTCAGTTTTCTTAAATTTAAGTCTTCTGTATCTGTTCCCAAAATTTATGCTTTGTTCAGCTTTCGTCTGTGGATTCCTGCTGTTCACTTTGAAAATAGCTCAGCCATGCTTTTCATACAAGCCTACAAGTGTGTTTCTTTGACTTGACAGAACATGATTTTTATTTACCAAATCCCAGTTTTGTGCTGGCCTCAGTCTGCTGAGTGCCACAATGGTTTCTCTACCAAGTAACTGTTTATAATATTCTAAAAATCAATTTCAACCTTTTCTTCAGTACAAATCTGGGTCTGCTGCACTCCTTCTCTCACCCAGAAGTAATAATTCTAATCTCAGACTAGTTTCAGCCTGCAGGAGGACAGAAACCTAACACTGATGGCAGCTGAGACTGGGGATGTTGGAGGTGTGGAGGAGAGGTTGGAATTGAACAGAAGTGATAACTGGTGATAAATACTGATGACCAGAAATATATTTTGATTTTCATATGTGTCAGTTTTCAGTGAAATGAATATTGGATTATATGAGGCCTACATTTTATTAAGATTTTCATTTGACTGTACAAGTAATTTGTGTCATGGATGCAGTTTTCCACTGGTGTGGAAACCTATCCCTTCACTCTAGTGGAGGATATGGCTTGTGGTGTGTTCATAGCAGCACCACATTCAGCGTGAGCTATTTGCCTTCATTTACTACCCMAACTTCCCATACTATGTTCTGTCCATGTCCACAGCTACCTTGCCAGCAGCATCCAAATCCACCGACAATAGAGCTGCTTTGGGCATGATGTGTGCTGAAACCAGAGCAGTGATTAGAGTGTAGCTTACAGTTTTACTGAGTTTCCCATTAGTAAAGCTTCCTCATTAACTGTAGTGATGGTTAAGACCTTGTCTGCTTTTAGGTGCATCAGCATTCCTGGGCTTGGTTAGCTGGCATTTCTGTATTTGAGCTATGATTTTCTCTTGTAGAACTCTAGTACAGAGATCCAAAGTAGAACTCTGAGTAATTAAGAAGTTAAATCACTTAGTAAGGAGGCCAAACTTATTCCCTCAAAAAAAAATTTGGATATTTTATTAAAAGAATGTCTCTGACTTAAAATACAATCAGGAAACCTGCAGGAAACCTGCATGTATAGAGAGCTGAGCTTCCTCTCAAAGTGATACTCTCCTGAAGAGTACCAGGTATACAATCACCTGGTAAGAATGTTACAAAACAATCCCTTTCAATTCATTAATTACAATGATGGAAATGAAAAATGGCATGAGCTTTAATCAACTGTTGAACGCCTGCGGCAGTTTTCAGGGTTTTCCTTTGATGTTGCCCCTGAAATACTAAATGTATTTATTTTGATTGCTTGTGAGAAGACATATATTACCTTCTTTTTCCACTTGGCAAARAATGAAATTGCACAGTTTGAGCAGACCAGAAGCTATAGTAGGACTTTCAGGACACAGCCTACTCTTTACTAAAATTAATATTACATTGTACTAACTTGTTCAACTTCTTGCAACTCAGCAATTTCTACAAATAATCTTATCTATTTCAAATTTCCTTGAGTTAGGTATCAAGCTGACATTAATCATTTAGCAAATTATGCTAATTATGCCTGTTTCATCTTTAGCCTGCTTAATTAAAGGTGAAGGCATCAATGAATCCCTGTGAGAACTAATTATTATTTTCAGATATAGTGGCCTTTAACTGGTGAATAAAGATTGCTTTCTTACTGTAATATAATAGAAACAATTCTTTTTAATTGCTTAGTGATAGGTGGAAATAAGTTATGAGGGAGAAGGACTTTCTGTGTGACCTTATGTGAAGAATTCTGAAGAGCTCATCTRTTGTTAAATAGCTGTGACTTGGAAGTTTATATTGGTATTGGCAAACTTCACCAGAAATGAAAATGTTTATGGAGCTAGGTTACAGGAAGTCAGTAATTTTTTTGGTGATAGGTCAGTAAGAGTAATTTTAATAAACTATTTATGCAAATCCAAAATTTCCCATGATACTTAAACCCAAGTAGAATAGATGGTAAAAACTTTTTACAGTACTTAGATGTAAATTATAATCTCTAAATCAATTTGTGAAGTGCTATGTTTTTGTAATTTTCAAGACCATGGTGTTTAAATGTAATACTCTATCTCTCAGATACAGGCTTACTTCAAAGTCAGTTTTAATTAATTTTTTTTTCCTTAAAGTCATTATTTAGCCCCAAAGATTGTAGGAAGAGCTTTAAAATGCAATCTGTAACTGCCCAAAAGCCATGAGCCAAGGAAAAAGAACTTGTCTTTATTCCCTTCCTTCCACCCCTCACCCGAAAGTTTTAATTTTAAATTGGTCCCCTTGTTTTGGAGCCCTAGTTTGTGGGTTTTGAGAAGCTGGCAATAATGCAAATTGAACACCAAAAACCCCATTTGAATTCTGAACAATTTAAAGAGATCACTTTAATTGAAGAGGCGAAAGATTGTTAAGCAAGGAAAATCTCTGGTTCTTTTAAGTTCTCCCAGCACTGCTGAAATCCAGATGATTTTGTGTACAGGAAATGCTCAGGTAGAGAGATCTCAGAGCCTCAAATGTCTTGGATTTATAGTAGAGACTTACTAAGGGTAAGTGGCACTGGCTGGTTTTATATCTGTGACTAAAATCATTTATGTTGCTCTTCAGCAACCTTGCTTATGAAAAAAAAGCATTTCAGAAATCTGTGTGCATCACTGCTAGTTTGCTATAATTTCTGTGCTTCTCCCTATAGCCACATTGCATTTCCATGACAAACAGCTAAATGTGCGATCATTATAATGCCTTTAATAGCCATATTGTAGGTAGAAATACTAACTTCTCAGGAACTAATAGGAAATATGAAAATGGAGTTTATGAGCTGAATGCCTGTCTGCATGAAGGCTTACTTTGCAAATGTCACCCTAGAAACTTGATTGTAATATTGCATGACCATTATGAATGTTATCAATATASAGTTACGCAAACTTCTTTTACCCTGTATTACTAGGCTGCTGAATGTCAAAGTATGTTGGATAAGGATAAATGAAGTTTGTTTCTTTTCTGATATGGATGAAGTGATTATTTCTAATGGTGCTACCTTCTTAATTCCTGTGTTTATTCTTTTTAAACACATCTCTGAAGGCTGGGTGAATCGGGATATTGATGTACTAAGAAAGCAGTATCTTTCTTCTTAAGGAAGTACAATAATTTCAGGGAGAGAAGTACTCTAGAAGTGTAAAAAATCTCTGCTGGAAACATACATGTATTCTTCAATAGATATCCTTTTGTATTCTTTTGTCAGTAACACTACTTTGCAGATCATTAATTTTTGAACTTTCTGCACACTGATGTTTCAGTCAGTGTGGGCTGAGAATTAGAGACACTTTGAAAATTTAAACCTCCCTGAATCCTTGCACAAAACTTCATATGTTGACACCTGTGGTGGTGTATGTATCCCTACCACATAACACCTTGGTAATATACATCTTTTATGAAACTAAATGTACTGTTTTCATGGAAGTTGTCCTTTAAAAAAAAGTCTTCTGGTTTGTTAACCTCATTGATATTTCATTAATATTTATTTTCTTGAAAAAGGATTCATAAATGCTTGGCTCCTTAAAATACAACAGACCATTAGGAAAAATTTAGTAAGGCGAAAAATGAAACATAGGAATTAGGAGAAGCAGCACCCAAAAGATTGAATTTGGGGATTAGGTTTGGAGTTCTGTGAGTATGATAGAAAATAGTTTTGTACTGAATGAAATGGTATTGGATGATGCAAATTAAGCAAAAGCTAGCAGTCCGTTTCAGTAATTACGTAGACTGTGTTAACTTCTGTTATGTTTTGTTTTGATACAGAAAAATGTGTTATTTATTTTGGTTATGCTCTAGTTGATAGACAATTCTGCTATCATATAGAATAATAATGCAGAAGGTAAGCTTCCTTATAAACTCAGCAGCTCTTCATTTGAAAAAACCAGACCAAAATGAAATTGCTGATGAGAGCTGCGCTGTGAGTGCAGAACAGTCTTTTCCTGAGCTGGAGCCTGTAATGCATGGCTAATTGTTTCCAAAGAAAATTCTTGACTTGTCCAGACAGCCCCTGTCATGTGACAGTATATCTAAGGCCCACAAGTAGGATCCAGTACAATTTAAGTTCAGGTAAGTAAGACTTTTGTAGTTAATTGTAATTTTTACAGAGAAGGGAACCATTGACAAATRCTTACTTTTAGAGGGCAGATAGTAGATTTTTATAATATTTATTGAAACATACTTTTTTTGTTGTTGTTTGCTCCTCATTTATAGCTTAAAAATTGGAAGTTACTTTGTCCTGTGTTGAAAACTAGACTTAGTAGTCAGCTGAAGACTTCTTTTTTGTTACAGTATTTTAAGTTTATAAATACATGTTTAAAGTTATATTTAGAAATTTTTTTTTTAAAAGTCAGATATCCTGATGCAATATAACTGATATTTTTAGTGGCTGTTTGTTTACACTGATTTCATTGTGCTGATGTGAATATCTAACACATCCACTCCAAGTGTTTATCTGATTCTTTTATGCTAGCAACAGGCATTCTAATTTCATAGGATATGCAGTGTACCTAGTGGTTAATATTGTCAGTGAAGAGTTTGATTCAGTGAAATAACAGGGAATGCAAAGTAGTTACTGATTTGAAAAGTGTAACTCAGATTCTTGTTTTCATAAAGGTTGGAGTATGGCAGTCAGAATATTAACTCATTCCAAGCATAAATTTGAAAGAGAATAGTAAACAACAAAACCATGCCTAAATGTTGTGTGCTAAATTAGACCATCATGTTGCTAYAAGAGAATTTGCAGAGAATTGCATCAGACTGTGTGCTTAGCAAAAACCTGTTAAATGTATTAAACTAATGGTAAATAAGTCACTGACAAGATGTTGCCATCAAGAGGGAAAACTTAAAACCCATCATTTTGATGTATGCTAAAAATGCGTTTCAAGCAGAAAATGCTTAAGCAATAATTTAACCTAAAACTGGATATGAAAGAAGCTGCTACTTAGGGAGACACTTGATGTAAATTTTGCCTGTTGGGCATCTCTCCTCTCAAAAAGAGTTTAGAAAAATAGGCTTGCTGCAATTTCCACTATTGTATCATTCCTCTTCAAATATCCTATGTCTGGGTGAGAGACTCAAAGCTTAGAAGCCAGTACTGTGTTCACAGGGTGCACACAGCTTTGGGAGAAGAAGATAGGAAGAAAAGGACTTTTATAAGGCTGCACAATTGTATATATGCATATTTAAGAATATTGAACTGTGTCTGCTAAATTAGTGAGGCTAATCTATTAYTGAATTATAGAACATTATTTAATACATCAACATTGTTATTTCCTGACCTGACCCAGAATTGGAATGGACTCCAACATAACTTTTTTAAAAGCATTTTTTAAGTTGTATGTATTATAAACAAATAAAATAATTGTTAACCTATCTACTAAGCCTGACGGTTTTTCTTCTGTGTTGGGCGGAGGGGGTGATAGGGAGAGGGAGAAAAGGAAAAACCTCAGAAACTGTTGTATTTTTTAATGGTCTTGTCTTACTTTCAGTTGATACCTCAAATCCCCCATTTAGACTAGAAGTATCGAGTGAGAGGGGAGAGGAAATTATTCGGGGTAATTTAATTGACTCTAAGACTGGAGTTACCAAATTACAGGCATTGCCTGCCTTAACTGTTTGAAACTGATTTTTCATTAAGTCCACATTTGGAGTTCTTTAAGCTTTTCAAGCCCTAATGATGGTAGGATTTATTAAATGTACTATCATTATGGTTGAATAATGATACTGAGGCTGTTCGTACACTTTTAGTTTTATACACATTTGCTTTCAAACGTAATRGGGTTTCCTCCATCTAGTTGAGGCAGATGCCACCTATTCAGAAAGGAATCATTCTCATCCATGCAACTCACGTGTGTTTAGACCATCCGATATGAAATGCTGTTTAACAAGAACCTTATGAACAGAACTAAATCTGCGCTCTGCACAGTGCTGMGGACAGCCTTGGTTACAGCCTTGGTTCTCATTAGCCAGAAACTTTTCCTTGCATGAAACGTTTTAAGGTCTTTGGTTACTCTAGTATGGAAGSCTTGACAGCCTCTTTATAGTGTGCRTGTGTATAACGTCTCTAACATATATCAGGGGGTGTGTTAGACATGCTCATATCCCAACGTGCGGGTGGGGAGGGGCACAGCTCCTGCCCGGCGCTGTGAAGCATTCCCGGTGTTGTAATGTGCGCTTGCAAAGCGGTATGATACAATGTTGCTGAGCAGAAAAGCGCACGATAGATTTAATGTAGCCAATTGTGTACTTTTGAAAAAAAGAGTAACTGTTCAGTGTGAGTTAATTTTGGATTTTTTCAGCATCTCCCTTTTAGGCTTTGTGCTGCATTCTTCTAGACAAATGCGTATTCCATGTGGGCCACTGTTCTACTAAATGCTCTCAGTTCTCCTTTTGCAATCAAGATTATGTTGCTAAGGAGATTTTGCTTTTATTGGTGCCATTGATTTGTGTTAATACGTTTTGAATACCTCTCGGTATTCTTCCGTAGACAAGGCCAAAAGAAAAACTTCCCTGAGTTTCCCGATTTACATCACAAATGGAGCGGTGGTGTAATGAAGCCGATATAAAGTGGGCAGTTGAAAGGGAACTAAAGAAGGGCACTCAAGTGAGAAATGAAGAAATGTGCCGAGAGCGGTCTGCGGGCCGCCTCCGGCCCAGCTGCGGGAGCGGGAGCGGGCCGGGCCCGGCGCCGGGGCAGGGGGACAGCCCGCRGCTCCGGCCGCCCGGACCACCCAGTTACCGCGCCCCGGCCCCGCGGATTACCCGCCGCTGCCATTGCCGCTTCCGAGCGCCCGCCGCCGCGGGGCCCGACGGGGGACCGACCGGCGGGACAGCGAGCTCTGGGGAGCTGCAGGAGCGCGGCCTCGGCCTCCGCAGCGATGCTCTCACCTCTCGCCCTCCCCGTGCCTCCGGGCCGGGCCCGTGCGCCATACCCCGGCTCCCCGCGCCTCCCGCCTGGGGCACGGAGAAGCAGCGGGACCCGCTTTATCGATGCGCCGCCACGGCCAGGCTGAGCTGAGAGTCTGCGCTCGGGCACTCTGGCCCCTGCCCTTGGCGAGGGGCTGGTGGGGCTGCCTGGGCATTGCCTCATCCCTGAGAGCCTGCCCTTAGAAAGAATCAAACAGAAAAACACCACCTCCCCGATAAAAAAACTCCACCAGAAAAACAAATTTGTAAACCCCAAACTAAACCCAAGAGTTTAAAAATATTAATTTAAAACCACCRAAAGTGTTTTAGCCTCGTGTCCATAGATGGCTCCACTGAAGACAAGCCTCAGGAGGACATTAGGCCTCCTGCCCTCATGTACGAGGACAAGGATCTCCATTGTCTTCTCTGGCTCTTCTACATAATATAGATAAGCTCCTGAACGACTCAAAGACCAGGTAGTTTATTTTTATATGATTATTCARAGAACACTCACACCAAAAAGCCAAACAGTGTTCCCAGAGTTTACCATCACAGAAATCTATCTGTGGTGGTCCAAAATCTCTGCCTCCTGTTTGATGTCTGGACAGCAGAGAATGTCCCAGTCTGTCCACTAACAAAGTAAAGGAGCAATGTCTGTATGTACAAAGTGGTTGCAGATATTCAGAGATGAGGATTTCTTTTATGCAGCCCCCTGGTGTGATGGGAAGCAGTGTGAGCWCTGTGCCATGTGCTGGTGAGTGAGCTGGGATGGTAACTGGTTTCAGACACCTTGTTTAGATTGGGATTTTTGCCAAGGTAGAGGTGACCCAAAGTCACAGATTCATATGACATGTGATCCAAAGGAGCCAATGTAATTTATATATAGAAAGTGTTGGTCTATCTTTTGCACTGTGAGCAGCATCCTCTTTTACAATATATACTGCTGACTGTGAAAATGTCCCATTGCATTTATGTAGGCTCAGCTTGCTTCTTCACATTGGTCAAGCCCAAAGTCTTCATTCTTAGGCTATCAATCATGTTATATGTAGAATAAACTTTGTCTTGCATTCTTGTTCTCTGCAGTATTAAGCTTCTGCCAGGAGGATAAAAATACAGGCTTGCTGAATGGATGGGAGAAGTGGAAGAACTCAACCTCCTTACTCATTTTTGAGGGGACCTCTTGAGGACTCCAGTGACTTTTTCCTATGTGTGTGCCTTTGAAGATACAGATCTTGAGTAATTGTTTCATAAAATGAGAGACATGAATAAGGATAACCATTCTGCCTAAATGATGTAAAAGTCATTCTAGCAGTGGGTCTTACTCAGGATTTTATGCCATTCTAGTTTACTTTCACAGTTCTGAGTTAAATGCTTCATCATGTTTCCAGTGTGTGCCAAAATACATCTCTAATTTGTTTTTTTCGTATCTTTTGCTACACACTTTATGGAAAGGGCCTGTTTTTGTATGAGATAATGAGTTCTGAGGTTAATGACAATAAAGTCCAGAATTCATACTGTACTGTGTGCCATTGAGTATACAGTAGAAATAAATTGAGAAGCAGACACTGTTTTAAAATCCTCTTTCTTTTAGGCATTTTGTTTAGCATTCAGAACACAGCCACATTAGCTGATTTTAATGACTGTTCTCTAATCAGTTAAATGGAAGTATGTGGAAAACTTTAAAAGATTATATTTTTGGAGACTGTTTACACCGTTACACCTCAACTAAAAGGATACTTGGCTCGAATGATGCAGCTAAGAGAAAAATGTGGAAGACTAAAGAAACCTGGAAGACAATTGGATCCAGCCCATTCTTTCTGTCTCCACAATGCAAGCTCTRATGACTCTAGTATTTTAATTAATGTCAACCCTTACCGTCAGTGCTCATGGGAACAATCATTAAACCAACACAAAAACATTTTAAATGTCTGGCAGCCTACCAGATACTGAGCTAAKCATTCTCATGGTAGAATGGATGGTTTCATAGCCAATTCCACACTGGATTAAATAAGTACTCYAACAGTACTGGCTCAAAAGGCTGTTATTTTCATACTAAACAGTATAGTTTCTAAGTTCTATTATAAAATGTTTTATATTTTACTTCCAGCACTGATATCGATGTTATTTATATGTATGYGGTTGAACTTTACTTTTTGTTGTTATTAAAACTGTTTTTTCTTTTTCCTTCTGTTTCCCCCTTTTTTAGCTTTTTCGCTGCTAAACCAAAACCATACATATTTTATTTAATTTTATTTTTTTCTCTCTTATAATGCACATGATCAGATACAGCCTAAACCAACAACTGGTTTCCAATGTAGCTTAAAACTACTGGCCAAGTGAATTTTAGAATTGGACAAATTGTGTATTTTTCATTTTGTATTATGTTCCTTTTGCATGGAAGGAACTTGGTCGTGTCTCTACCTAACAGATACTCAGTCGTCCTCACTGCTGCAATATGTGCTTGTCAAGTGTACTAAGTACCCTGATCTTTCTTATTCCTCGAAGGTCTTTTTCCCTCCTCCCATCCTCTGTGTTTGCTGTTTGCTCAAATTGTTTAAACGTGGAGCTCAATGACAGGCTATTAGCGCTGACTGGAGCCACACATAATGTGGCCACATGTTGTGTAAGCTTCACAACTTGTCTGCTAATTCGCCTCAGGCCTGACCTGAAATACCCTTGCTATTCTAGCTCTTAGCCCTTCCCCAGCACCGACAGACACTCATGCTAACTCACATGACACATTGGTGAAGTCTTTGATTTGGGGCCAAATCCTGCCTCACTTTGTGCCAAAGGTTGTGCCKTGACAGTCAGTGAATCTGCCTGAGGAAGACAAGAGGACAGAGCCAACTGTGCTTAAGGATGGGGAAGAGGATGAGAACTCTTCTGGTGCAGCCCAYCAGGAATGAAAGCCTGCAGTTGGAGTACCTTGGGCAGGCAGTGTGAGAGGTGCTGCCCTCCTCTGCTTGTGGCTCTCTGARTCTCACTGATAGATCCCTAGGGAATATACAATTGCCATAGAAAGTCCACAAGCTATGAGCAAGAAACATGGCAGGAAGAGCCCGGGCTGGCAGCAGAGGGTGCTCTCTATTTCACTCTTGTCATTAGGCTCTCTGATGCTTCTGTGGTGGCTACCAAAAGCGGGGATATTTTAGTCAAGCTGGGGAAAAAAAAGAGCAGCCCAATTAGGAAGATGAGGATAATGAAATACATCCTGAGGAGTTGGAGAATGTGCTTATTGGAAGAGATTATTGGTCAGAAAATAAAGGAACCTAGAAGGATCCAGGCCATGGAAAGTCAAAAGATTAATACAGATGTGTGGCACTGGTATCCAAAAGGGAAATTATTTGGAGAAATGGATTTCAGGTTATCAGACTGATTTGGAAGAAGGGTGCATGGTAGATTAGGCAATTGATACGTTGATACAGCTGATTGTAGAATGGAAATATATAGAGGAAGCCTTACAAAGG